ATTGATATATTCCAGCAATTAAAATTGTTTAATCTTTGCAGAAACGCCCATTTTATTGAATGTATAGAAGTGTGTATGTGAAGCGAGAGGAAGTTTTGTGAGAGAAGTTTTGTTTTTTTGAAACAAATTGTTTGAGGAAGTTGTACATTGTATAAGTGATGTTTCTTTACTAGTGTACTCACACTAGTAGGCTCCAGCAGCATGATAGTCTTCTTTCACTTCTAGTCGCAAACTATTCAGAGCTTGGCAAGCCTTCTTGGTACTTTCTCGTGCTCTTCTCTCTACAAAAAGTAGTCTCTGGTCGTTGCTAGTTTTCAGTTTTCACCCAGTCCAATGCAGCTGTACCAAGGTAGATATCATACTCTTTCATAATTTTGAGAAATTCCATTCTTTCATTATTGAACATGACTACAGCTATATTCACACCAATTTTTCAAATAGCCAGGCTAATATATATGAAGTCTTTGGATCAATTTTCAAAATACAGTTACTCAAACTCTCTATACTGTTCTGGGTGACGCTTCCCAAGAATTTTTCCAATAGATCATTAAATATCGAATCTTCATAAATATTTTTGATAGAGTCCATTACTGCACCAGAGAATCCACCTTGATGCTCATATAGGGGAAAAACCGACTTCGATACAACCTGCCGAATTATGGGCGCTAGATACTACTAATTATTAGATTTTAGAAAAATTTAAATATCGGAGGAGTGCCACTCCGGAAGAAAATCAATCCACGGTTAATAATTTTGACTAAGACAACTCAAGTTTAGATTGGTGTGGTGGAGGTTAAAATGTCAGCTACGCTTCGGCAATGTATCTACTCTATGGGATCAAAATATGCAAATAGTCAAGTCCTCGAAAATCAATCTCTGCGTAGGTTAGTCATTTTGTTTTGGGTCGTAGACTACTCCGATAACTTATTATCGAATTTGAATATTTGATTATACTTACTTTGCTCTACACGGTTCTAAATTTAAAGTGATTAATACAAAGTGAGGCAGGAATTAAACAAGGTGATCGTGATCTACATTCTACAATAGCTGTCGGCAAACTCCGGCTTTTCCTCCTCCTCCTTCTATTCCCTCTTAGCCGTGAACAGCTGTAATCAAGCAGTATCAATTTTATTTGAATTCGGCACGGTACGCTATCTCTTTCTTTCGTCCCTCTACTCTGGCGGCCTGACTCTATCTATTATTTCGTTTAGGTACAGTGAGTATGATGCGCTGTCCTTATCTATTCATTGAGCTATCTCTTTCTAGTTAGCCTATTGCTATCCATAAGTGGGCGTGGCCTATCCAATACAGGCATATAAATATTTTAATTTGGACGCAATATATCGCATGTTACAATTATTATTAATTAGAGATATAGATATATATTTTTCTTGCGTAAAATAAATAATTTTTATTTTTAGTTATTAATTTAGCGGGGATTTCTTCATCAAGATGTGCTGCGTACAGCAATGAAGTGAATTCTTTTGTTGATGATTTTCTGCAGGTTTATACTAGTTATTGTTGGCTTAAAGGCAATAAAATTTGGAGGAACAGCTCGTAGAAACTTTAATTCTTAGTTGATACACTGGTGCTCATCGTATACATGAAGAGGAAAAAAATATAAAAATAGTTATTACTACGCTAGTGCAATACGAAGTACAGAGCGAGCTGTCCTTTGGCTATTTGAACTGCTTCGCAAAATTAAAATTAGATTTATAAATGAATTTATTGCTTTAAAAGCAGCTCTTTATAACTTAAAATTAAGCTAAAATTAAGAGCCGTCTGATTTTCGAGTTATCACAATTGGACTCGACCATTCGCTAGTGGACCTGCGGATTACTCCCATGCGAAGTATCTTATGCATTTGCTCGTGCATTTCCATCTCAACTATATGCGAGACTGTGTAGTATTTTTGTTTAATGAGGCGAACATCACCGATATCGATGTCATGTTGAATCCAATCTGTGCAGCCTAGCGCCTCACCGGCCGATTCCGAGAGGAGAGTGAGCACAAGCAGCTCTAATTCTTGGCGTTCGCTATCGGTAACCTCCTGGATACCGAGCGAGGCGAATGGCATCATCTTCTCTGTTCGCATTGACGAGAGAATGACCGGGATGATGTCCTCACTGCCTTCGGCTTTCAGCGTGTTAGCTCTCACGTCGAGATTCGCCGAAAAGGCTCTAATAAAGTCACCGCTTAAGGTGTAATCAGTATCTGCATTCTTCAGAATGAGCGCTTCTACATCGTGCCTAATTCTTTCTAATTCAACTTTTCATTGCCTAAAATGGGTACGTGGTGACCATCGACTGCTTTTGTTCCTGGTCCAGAGTAAGGTGACACCCTTAAGTTACAGGCTGCGGCTATCTCTGCTCCGATAGGACCAAGAACGGTATATGATGCTCCCGTATCATATAATGATTTAAAAGAGAAGGGGCCGATATGTATGTTCAGCAATCAACGCGGGTGCCTTTTGATGAGAGCGCTCGATGCGGTACCTTCATCGTCATGACTAAACGTAGCGTTCGAGTAGCTCGTAGTTAGCATCGAGTTAGCTGTCACGCTTGGCGCTGTATGCGGAATTCTCACAGTGCTCATTGCCTCCAAGGTCCCGTGATTTAAGGACTGCGTCGTAGGGACCTCCTCTACGCGCTGCCATCACGTTTTTCGACTTAGTAGTCTTGGAGCATTCAGGGCAGAGGGTCCTGGTGTAACCTGGCCAGCTACAGTCCTAACATAAGACTTTTCCTAGGTCCGGACCAGGCTCCTTGTCCTTATTCTTGTTGGACTTCGGAGTAATCACCCGGGCGCTATTTACTCCTCGGCCTCCCTTTGGCTTGACTCCGTGGCCTCTACTATTGCTAGACCAGCGCGAAGTTCACGAGACTGCTCTTGAGTCACCGCCGCTGGCCGTATTTTGCGCCGACAGAGTCGTACAGCCTCTTCCGCGTTCAGCGGGGAGCAGGCTCTTAGCCTTGACGGCTGCCAGGTCCTTCCCTTCTTGTCGAAGAAATTTTGGAACGCTTTCTCCAGAGCAGCTTCATCTGTGGGAATAGGCCTTTCTACCACCGATGCTACCGCCATCTTAAGTTTCACAGCCTTGGTTTTAGACCTGTCGGCGGCTTCGGGTAGCATACTCTGCTTTAAAGTAGGTGGAGGTTTCCACTCATTGTCAGACTCGTAGAATTTTACTTCCTGAGCTTTCTGGAGCAACTGCTGTAACGTGGCAAAGATATCCTGGTCCTTTTTCAGCTTCTTCTTAGGTTTTGGCAGCATATTATCAATAGCCAAGATTACCTAGTCGCGCGTACTCCACGGCGTTTCGCCGTGGACTAAAAATAGTATTTAGAGCCGATAGATAGCCGCGTACTGATTCGTCTGCGCCTTGGATGCGAAGGAGTGCCTCTACCGACAAGTTCAGATCCTTTTAAACTTGCGCAATTTGCTACACGCTTCTAACGCCGCTTCTTTGAATTCTTTCTAGGTTTTCCACGTCGGGCTGACCCTCCTATACCAAAGTAGGGCTGGTTTCTTAAATAAGGATGAGATTGAATCTAAAAGTTCGTCCTCTGCAACACAATCTAGCCGACAGTTTTCCTCTATTTGCTCGAGGAACTCTTCGATGCTCATAGTGGACTCGCTCGAGAATTGGATTTTCCATTCTCTAATTGTCTTTTCTATGTGTTTATTGGAGAAGCTAGGTCGAAAAGCCTCGAAAAGGTTACGCACATCGTGCTGCAAGCTCGTCTCGCTATACCTGAAGGCCGCGCCGATTTGTGCGGTCAATCTTGGCACAGCACCCTCTGCCAACGACGAAACAAATGTTGCACTCGCAGGGGCTCCCCTTCGCCGGGCTGAGCTTGATGCTGGGTCAGGAACCGATGCGAGGGTTGGCACATCATGCGCACGCCGCAGTGTCGAGGTCGCTATCCTCCTTCCCTAGCCGGAGCTTGCGGGGGTTACTGGCGCAGATCGTAACGGCGTAATTGGAGCCGATTGCTTATCAGAAGTTATTTTTGGTCTAGTTGTAGAGTGGAAAAGATGCGCGTGAGAATTTAAATTGCTTCGCGATCGCGTATAAGATAAGTCAAAATCGTTAATATTGTCTTCGATTAAGTGATACGTATTTTGGAATTGCACTGTTTTTGCAGTATACATCACATTAAGCTTGCGTTAAGCTTCTGCTGTCTGTTTCTGAGCATTAGCTACCACGTTTTGCATTTGTCCTTGCAAATCCTCATTAACGCATTTTAAGTCGTTAATATTTCGCGTAAGCCGGTCATTTTCCGATGAAATCGTCGTAATATAATTTTTTTATTTATTGAACGTTTGACCGCTGTCAAAGGCATTCCCAATTAAAATTGTAAGTAATGATAATGCATCGATTCTCTATAGAACTAACGTAAATTTGTGTAAAATTATTCAATGAAAAGTAATTGAAAGATTTTTCAGTCAAACAATCACAAAACCGATTTTTGAACCAGTGTATTACAATCTTTATTAATAAAATGAATAACGGCGATATTTTGTATAGTAATAACAGCGACGCGTATATACATCTATCGAGATCTACGGCTGATACAAAAGATCGCTATTTTCCGAATCGAAAATTTACGCTTCCATCGTCACAAAGATTTTTGAACTAAACATCAATTTCAAACTTCATAATATATTTACTCCAGTATTACATTGAAAACGGAAAAAAAAATGGAAATTCATATTTCCTTACCCATTTCTAACGAAAAAATTTTATTTTATCATATTAGATAAATATATAAAGGTTTTTATCTAAGTTATAAAATGAAAAATCCTTAATTTTTATTGAAAATATAACTTATAAAAAGAAGTATTGTACTATGTATTTTTTGGATATTTTCTTCGCTTTTACCATTTTATATTCTATAACAAAAGTTTGTTGGAGGTATTTTTTTATTGAGCCGACAAGTTACGACTTTATTCACTAACAGATTCTCTGAGTATAATAACATCTAATAATTATTTAGAGCTCTGGCATACAACAATGGTAGAGAACAGTTTGTAAAACAATTTGAATTGATTGTTGAAGGTGTTCAAAGGAATAAAATCAAGGTACTGATTTCTTTATTTCTTAAACTATATTATGTTATTAATTGTATCCATGTGTTTGCTGTATATTATAACGAGCATGAATGGTTAGCAAATACGCATGCACTAAAGGTAGCGTGCCAAATACAGCGTATCTCCACGCGCGGGCAACCCCCTTAGCCGTGCATCCACTCGAACTGCTTTAGATACTGTGAGGATAATTCGGGCTAGAGAAATAATGAGGCAATAGTTAAGTATAGAGTTAAATATTTAGTTTTATTACAAAATTGAATTATACGATATAGTCTGGTACAAGGCTCTAATTGTCAAGAGCATCGCTGTAATGAAGAAAAACACCGTCTGTCACATAACTGAATGTCTATAAATCGCGCCTAGCTACGAGAGTGCGACCACACCGAAGATCGGTTATTACACACCGACTGTCGGTAAGAACTCGTGATGGTTGATCGGTGTGGGTTCGCTTTACCGTCAGAGTGTATTGTTACGTCAAGCTAAGGTTTAGCCCGCCGATTAGTTGACTACGTTAGTAGTCGTGTTTAAGGGCGGAGTTACAGAGTCTACTTTTTAAGACTCAGCAAAAATCGGCATAGGGGCAAAACCATCCAAACACCTCGGTTCAGAGTATTGTTTCCTATAATGTGGGGAGGTTACAATACTCTAGACCTTGCTGGCTTAGTAGTCACCGGTCGGGTATATTTTCAGCCGGCCGTTCGCATAACCGATATATAGTAATGACAATGTTACAAGCATACTTGTTCATCGCTATTTTCTAAGTGTGCGAGAGCAAGCGAAATGGTAATAACAGACTGAGAAAGAGAAAGAATCATGTAAGAGCGAACAGAAAAATTATACAGCTGACTAGGAGAACTGTGCAAGGACGGCAGTATGAGCAATTAGTACGTTGATGCATGCACCCAAATCTCATCGCTGTTTGTTATTTCTGGCTATTTCAGTTACTCTTATTTCCCATTGTCAAATATTCTGCGTAGAGTTAGTGTAATAAGTATGTGAAAATCTTTAATGTGAGCTTAAACTTAAGGAAACAGACTTAGAGAAGCAGATAACCATCGAATAAATCTTGTAGAGGTTATAAAGATGTAGCTGGTTGCAATCTTGATAATTTACGTTATTTTCTTTATATTGCATTCTTACTACGGAATTTTTAACGCGTAAATAATATTATTGGGCAACATCATCCCATTTTTTACTTACCAACTCTTTTATTCTCACCTAAAAATCAAATTTACGCCCTTGACGAAGCAGTTGCCAACGAGATTTTACGCTTGAATTTAGGCGCGTAAATACAACTAAGCGATTGATAGAAAATATTATTTCCTCATTTTTAATGAAAATGGTAGCGAACCTCGTACTAAGGCAATAGGTAAACTAGAGAAGCAACAGATTAGGAGAACCTCAGATCAGTGATCTGAAGTGCGTGAGCTATCAGATGAGCACTCTTAGATCACACGTGAGAGCTCCTCCCCCTTCTCTCCCCTATTTAAAATGCATTTTAAATACATATTAAAATTTATTTATGTGTTATTTAAATTAATTTAATTTATTTATATATGTATATTTATTTATTTTTTATTTAATGCATATATAATGCATATATAGCTCAGCGAATTGAAAAAAATGAATGGACACTACGGAGAATCAAACTTGCGTCCTATGGCTCCACAGACCGGAGCTTTACCAATTGAGTCATGGTTGCTCTTGCCTCTTAACTTGCTTCTTACTGTCTATATTATCGACACAGCCAAAGCGATTAGAACGGCTAGAACTAGCTAGAACTAGCTCCTTCCGCCCCCGATGATCTGAAGTGTTTTTGAAAAAATATATATATTTATATATTTATATATGCATGCATGCATGTATGTATGTATTTATGTATATATTGTAACGGGGTATGTACCGTTTAATTATTTTTATTAAGACGATCGCGTAAATATGCTCGCAATCACCTATATCAAATAAGAAAGTCGGAGAGCAAGAGGGAACGGGTGTCAGTCAACCAACAAATCTACGGGAGTGGAATCGATACGGAATAAACACGTCGAAAGTACTGGTTAATATCACGAAAGAAAACTCTTTATTGTCCTCTCTGAATGTTACACTAGAATTGGCCCGCGTGTTTATGTTTACGGAGGCGATCGCACGACGACAACATACAGTGTCGGATCGCTCGCCGCTCTTTGTTCGCAGAGCTATTACATGCACGCTTCGCTTCGAGTACGGAAAATTAGTTATCACGCATGCAATCGCGGTCGCGAGATTAAGCTGGCCAGCTTACCTTTATTTTGCAGACGCACGAAGACGAAGAGAACAATTCTCACCGCGGGAATGTCGTTTGTTCCTTTTGTTGCGGATCGCGAATTCGCGCGCACGTGGTTTCGCCCTCGATGGCGAAACCTCACACACACACACTCTCGATGCCGCAGGTAACGATGCTCTTCAGTTGGCTCAGGTCTGCACGCCGTGTAGCTCGATGACAATTACTCAGGACTCTGGGACACGTACGGGCAATTAGGTCGCGAACCTTAACTTTCGTGGCTTCCGTACCGGTAGCTGGATCTCCACTGGTTCGTTTTCAATCGCGCGCGTTCCGTCTGCTCGCGTGCCGAATTCCGTCGTTACATTTTTCGTCTACCGATAAGTGCTGCCCCCGCAGGCAGCTACTAGGTTAGGTAATTAGCGCTAATTTGACGTTTACCGTCACAATATGTATGTACTGAAGTGTGTTTCAAAATCATACGTTAGCATCAATGAATTAAGTAGAGGAGGTCAGTAAATATATACATTGTTTTTTCTTAACCCGTTAACGACCAAGACGGTCGATTTTAGACTAACTTTTCGTAGCTGAATTTCAGGTACTCAACGAAGTAATAACTGGGTCCGACATATCAATCTTTATGTATTTTTGTCTGCTGAATCAGAATCTGGGCTCGAAATACGAAAATTTCTATTGCAAAAAAAGATATGGCGATTTTTGTGCAAAAAAATCTGAAAAAAAATCGCATTTTCAAACTTTATGATTTTTTTTCAGGCAGAAATCGCATGAATTCATGGTGAAATCATCAACCATCGGTGCACAAATTTGTTGAAGTTTAAAGATAAATTTTTACATATATGTATTTTTCGCCAAAATGGCGGCCAAAATGCAAAAAATTGCATAAAATCGCATTTTTTGTTCATTATTTTTTTCTCGAAAACTGAAGGATTAAACAAAAATTGTCTAAGCATAAAAATGTCTTAAAATTGATCAAGGAATACTCAAATTTTTTCAGATTTTTTTGAGACAATTTTTTATTTTTTGAAAAATGCTAAAACCTAATTTTTGAAAAATGTCTGCAAAAAATCTGAAAAAAATTTGAGAGTATTCCTTGATCAATTCTAAGACATTTTTATTCTTAGACAATTTTTGTTTAATCCTTTAGTTTTCGAGAAAAAAAATAATGAACAAAAAATGCGATTTTATGTAATTTTTTGCATTTTGGCCGCCATTTTGGCGAAAAATACATATATGTAAAAATTTATCGTTAAACTTCAACAAATTTGTGCACCGATGGTTGATGATTTCACCATGAATTCATGCGATTTCTGCCTGAAAAAAAATCATAAAGTTTGAAAATGCGATTTTTTTTCAGATTTTTTTGCACAAAAATCGCCATATCTTTTTTTGCAATAGAAATTTTCGAATTTCGAGCCCAGATTCTGATTCAGCAGACAAAAATACATAAAGACTGATATGTCGGACCCAGTTATTACTTCGTTGAGTACCTGAAATTCAGCTACGAAAAGTTAGTCTAAAATCGACCGTCTTGGTCGTTAATGGGTTAAATGAAATTTTTTTTTATGATAAAAATAAATCTTATTCTACAAGTCATTTATTAAAAGAATACGCATAGAAATTCTTCAATAATTTCATCGCCCTCTTACCAAAACCCATTTATGTAAAACCAGCAATCATTTATGTAAAACTTTTTCATGAATTGACGTTTTGATGTAGGCACGTGGTTACGTATTTACCATTATGATTATAACACACAGTAACTGTTTTCATATTTTTGTAAGGGGAATAGTCCGAATCATCCAACTCAAACCTTTAAGGCTGTATCGTTCTAACCACTCTTTTTATAGAGCTCCGAAAACGAAAATTTTCTCGATAGGTAACTCTATTACCTTCTCCATTATTTCGTTGAAAGCAGCAATAAATAATGCATAAAGTAAGCATAAAATAATAATAAGTTACTTCCGTCAAAAATGATTTTTAAGCCGAAACTTTCTAGAAACTTTATGCTTTGATGTGTTAATACTTTCACTTTTCGATGACGATTGATAATCGGAATACGGCGGGTTGTTGCTTTTACTTTCAATCGACGACTGATGACTGGTTTTTATATTTTATTGCTTATATATTTTATTGAGACAAATTATTTATTTATATGTAGCGTTTAGATAAAAGACTTTCTTATATTTATTTACACACACATAGTATTTTACGAGGTGTGTTCAAAAAATAACGAGAATTTTCGTTTTATGAAAAAAATATTTATTTATTCATCTACATTAATGTTGTCGCCTTCAAAGTAGTCCCCTTCGGATACAATACACTTATGCCAACGCTTTTTCCAATCCTCGAAACACTTTTGAAACTCGTTTGTAATAGCTTTTAGTTCTTTCAGCGATTCGCTTTTAATGTCATCTATGCTTGTAAAACGACGGCCTTTTAATGTTCTCTTTATTTTTGGAAATAGAAAAAAGTCACATGGAGCCATATCTGGCGAATATGGAGGCTGAGGCATCGTTACAGTTTCGTTTTTGGCCAAAAGTTCACGAACAAGCAATGAAGTGTGAGCTGGCGCATTATCGTGGTGCAAAAGCCATGAATTGTTTTGCCACAAATCCGGGCGTTTTTTTCGGATTGCTTCACGCAAACGACGTTGAACTTGTAGGTAGTACTGCTTATTGATTGTTTGACCTTGTGGCAAGAATTCATAATG